GAAAGGTTATGGAAAGGATGAGTTGCCAGGAAGATAAGGCCTATTCAGACCTCTCCTACAGGGACCACATGCAGTTTCAGTGGAAAGAAGTAGTTTTCCAAAATATTTGGCTCTGTACCAAGCTAATGGCAAAATACCAGAATTTTAATTCTGTTCTGACCTTTCTGTAGTACCCTTCACAACTGGCTGTCTGCTTCTTAGGAAAGGGTGCTATGCATTTATATAGCAGATGTCCAAGGCAGTATTAACATGAATAAAATATGCATTGCTAGAAAGATGATGAAAGTATAACCGAGTAAAAGATCTCTTAAGGGTCACCTCTTCCTCCAATCCAAGATAGAAGCCTTTCTAAGCACACTGAATTTTAATTTTGTCCTTTGAGAATGTTTGGCTATCCCAGATAAAATAGTTTGTAAATCAATTAAATATACAATTGGGAGAAAAAGTACCAACCAAACAAGCAAAACACCCACAAAAATCCTGCACTTTTACATTGTTAGTCATTAATCTTATCTCCTAAGATACATGCATTTTGCCCTAGTTCTGCAATATAATTAAACTCAGATGGCCAGTCTTCTATACCTACAGAGAAGTACAGTGAGTGTAAAAGAGCCATCAGCCACTCAATCATTACTCATTTCCTCCTGCTTTCTCTGTTAGCACTGCACCATAGATACTGATTACATTAATGAAGTAAAAAATGTTATCACTATAAAAAGTGATTAAAATGCTAGCATTCATATATACTCATACATCTGTCTGTACAGATCAGTGAATAACATCCTCTTTTTTTTTTTTTTTTTTTACAGGAGATAGTCTCTTTTATAACATAGTTTTTCCTTTATAGAAACATTATACTGTATCTTGTTTGTTCTGTGTTAATTTTTATTTCAGAAGCTTTCTTTCTGTAAGTTGTTTTTGCACAAGGAAGAACAGAGTTTAGGTCTGCATTGTATTTGAGAGAAAATTCACACAGGGGCCACAGGAAAGCTTCTGTTTGTACTGAATCTAATGCATTGGTCAGAATACATACTTCAGGGTTGTTTTTTTTCCACATATTTCTTTCTAAGCACATACCTTAAAGTCATCATGACTCTTAATTGGATTAAATATAACAAGACATATAATTACTTTCTTTGCATCTGTTCATACATACGCATTTCCTCATCAGTAGAGATTCCATTACTTGGCCTTTAAATGTGGAATTTTTTTAATTAGCAATGAAATGCTCTTTTTACTTCACTTACTTTTAGTTGCTTTTTCTCATATACAGATGTGCCTGTAGTTTTTCATATCCATGTCCTTTCCTTTGATTTTTGAGGCCTGTGATTTTCTGTGGTGGTTTCTAAGATAAATATTCCCTCAGGAAAACATCATAAACATTGAAGCATGGCACAGAAAATGTCAAAAACTACAGGCATTTCTCTGTGGCTGAAATGATCTGTTGGGTTTTCTGCTTATAATAAATAAGAAAAGCACGTGTTCCATTACTGCACTTAGTGTGAAATAGGGCAGATCCCAGAGCACATTTTCTTTATATTTAACCAAACCCTGACATTTTAAAAAAGAGACAATTCCTTAAAGGTTTTATGTACTAGACATGAGGTCCTTTATATTATTCCCTACTGAAAACAGTTTTAACTTCCCTTGAAACACCAGACTTAAGTAGGAAACTTTCAATGAAAGTTGTGCATTTTATTGCTCTCGCATTTGTTTTTGTACAATCACGTTAAAAGCTGAAAGTAGCATGAAAATCAATAGCATCCAGGACTTCTGTGCCACTTTTGAGAGCATTCCATATCAAGATAGAAGACATGTTAAAAGGCAACAGATGCCCTCTTTAACTTTATTCTTTCAGTGTTCCTCACAATGTCCTCTACTGGGGAGGAAATTGATTTTCTAGTTTGGTATCTATTCTGAAATTTAAAAGATAACACTAGCCCAGCACAAATGAAGAATGACAATAATTTATATTAAAAAAAAAAAAAAATTCTGTGCACAAGCAATACTTTCTTTTACTCTAAACCCATATTTAAATATCCTTTTGGTATTTAAATATGGGCCTAGATTAAAATTTAGTTTAATTAACATAAAAACTACTCAAATGAAACTTCCAAATGTATCAATTTTAAAACGCCAAAACTTTTAGGATATATAAAAAAAGTTATGCTTACATCAAGTGCCTTTGGGTTGCAAAATATGCAATTTATGTGGACTTTTCTTTTGGTCCGGCTTATGTGATCTAACATATTCAACAAAGGAACTATGGCCTATTAAGATACTCCAGTTTCCCAGCTGCTTTCTTGCAAATTGAAATGGTTGCAATATCACATCTCAGTGCATTTCTGAATCTCAAATCTCAGTTGAAAGTGTAACTAAAGGATGTACCACACTAAAGCACTTAGGTGCTAATCATTGCAAGGCACTTACTAACTCAGAAATGGTGCAAAGATTTCTGAAAAGGAAGAATAAAGCTGAATTTTATTGCCACAGTACCAAGGGCTTACTACCATTGAGTCATTTCTGTGTTGGAAGATGAGAAGGGAGAAGCAGCGACTGAGAAGAAAATAGTAAAATATAGTAGAAGGGCTCAGCTACCCACTGCAGCAGCTGATGTTTATGATTCCTTCTAGAAGCAACGGTTTCTGCCATCACCTCCTAACTGCCCAAAGCAGGGCACCATGCCACACCATTGCCTGTCTCAGGAGCAGCACCAGCAGCCAGACAGGCTTTCCAGGACACTGCTGTAGACTACAGTCATTTTGTTGCTGCCAGAGCTCTCTCTTCACAGGAAACCACACATTTTGTTTTTAGAGTTGGCTCAGTATTCATTTCTCCTCCCTTTGCTTAGGAAGTGGGAATGTGTCACCAACGGGTAGGTAGACAGAAAAAAATAATTTCTTAAAATAAAGCAGCTGTTTGCTTCCAAGCACCTTATAAACTGAACGCTATTAGTAATTTCATGAAAAATAATGCCTGCCTGTGCAGCCCATGCCTGCTGAAGCTGATGGCTCAGTTGTCAGGATTTCGGTTCTCCATTCCCCAGCAATGTCTTTGGCTCAACATTTCCACCTTCACTTTTCAGTGTGCATTTATTTTTGTTCCCACCTGTGATGGAAGTAGATTTCATTGCAAAGGGTGATGGCTTCCATTAAGTGGAAATATTTCTCAACTTGATTAATTATCTGTTCACTCACAGGCCTTTTCCAGGTGGCCTCCAATCTGCAAGATCATGAACAACTTTGTCTTGCAATGTTACGTATACTACATCTAAGCAGGCAATCTTCTTTCCCTGGCAATATCAGACTCAGAAGCCTGCTTTCCTGGCACAATTCTTTAATTGTGACATAATAGTACCCACTCACACTAATGATATATGTCAGACACATGAAGCTGCAAGTTTCAGGGCATTTATTGGAGCAATTCTGAAATATTTTGTCTTGCCAACCTCTTAGAATTATTGTGACAATGCATTTATGTAAAGAGTAAAGCACATCTTTGGTCTTTACCACTTTATTACTAACCCTTATTTGTGTTTTCTTCCTGCTGTAGATATTGCATTGACTCAGCAGAGATTGTTACATTTCATGATGTATTTTATAAGTTTGCATGTTCAGACCTATGGATATCTACATTGCTGTGATCCATATGAGTTGTGACCCTTAGTATATCATAATGATGATGTCCTCTGTATTTCCAAAGATAGAATAAAGGAGTCAAGTACATAATCTAAATATAGAGTCCCTAGTCAGGAAGGAAATGTACATTTCCATCTGATTATATCCTCTGACCCAACAGCAACTGCCAATATATCCATACTTATAAATATTTTCTATTTCTAGTGGTGTTGAACATTTGGAGGTATCAATAATAATAAAGTTATGTGTTGGGCACAGTTCCATTGGAAGCACTTAGAGGCGTGTAGGCAGTTGAAACTGATTTCTGTTGTCTACCAAAAAAAGAGAGTCTTTTATTAAGAAGTGTGTCTTCTGAAACATTTAATTGATGTGCTGTTATGGTGGATCTGGGAACAGCAGTTTGGTTGCCTTGGGCAGCCATCCTCTCTGCTAGGACATGTTCCCATTTGCTGTAATGCACTAATATTATGAATTCCCATGCCTCATCGCCCTTTTTCATCGAAAAAGGCACATTTCTATCCAGGGTTATGTGGTCAACTTGAATCCAGGGATATGTGTACTAAAAAGGTTCCACTGTAATGTTTTTCTACTAAACATTTTAAAGAAGTTTAAGCATTGTCACCTTAGCATGGATGAATATTTGGCATGATATTCTGAAGAAATATACAGATTAAAGTTAATCAGAACTGTGAACATTCAGTAGATTTGAAAAGCTACAATTTTAAGAAAAAGATATAACTTACCATTTAACCACATCTCCACTGTAATACACACTGAAATAACTAAAAACATCTTGCAGTGGTTTCAGCAGCCTAACCTCTAATTGTTGGCTGTGAACGTGCATATAGCCACGCATAAGTATATGTGGATGCTTGAATACTTCAGTTTTAACAAATACTTATCAATCTAAATAAGACTGTTTCACTGTTTATCACTGATGATGTTGAAACTATTTTCCCATACATGTTTAGATTGGATTTACTGAAAGAAGGAGGACAGGATATACTATGATAATGTTAAATCTTCCCTTCATATTTGCATCTTAAGAGCTCCACAAAGAAATATATTAAATCCAACTAAGGCTGAAGTGATTCCTCAAAAGGAAAACTTGAAAGAGAGAACTGTCAGAAACCTCAAAGGCTAATTGCTGTGCAAATTCCACACAAGAAATAAAATGAAATACAGTAAGATAAATCAATGAGTCATCCTGTAAAATTATGAATTAATACATTTTCTGCGGCAAAGGAATCCCTCAGAAAATTTTTGGGATTATTTTAAGAAAGCAATGTTTAACACTGAGCATAAATGTAAGTTTGTGTTTATGAGTCTTTAAAATACAAGGAGATCTATAGGTACCTAATAAAGTCAGGAGGAAGAATATATAGATACACTATTAAAGTGTGTAAACTGTTCAAAATATATTTACTGTTGGAATTTGCGGCTTTTCATTTCACTTCAAATCTTTTCCAGCTTTTTAGTGTACATTATCTAGCATTTCATATTCTTATGTAAAGTGTTTGTTAGGAACGTATACATACTCGCCTATACTGATAGCTTGGTTTGGGGCTAGTGTCCAAGAAAAGAACACAGGCATTTACAAGCTCAAAAACTTATGTTTTGTGGCATTTTGTTATTCTTCAATGAGAAACAAACTTCACATGAATCCTCCCCTGATCCCCACTGGACAGCTAGTAAAATCAACATCACTTCTTGTAGCTGTTTCTGTAATGTTTCTTCTTCGATTTTCCATGCAAACTCATTGTGGGCTCTTTAACAGTGAGGGAGATGAGCAAACTGTCTCTGAGTTTGGCTCAAATTTTGAATTAATGGAAGAGAAGAAATGCCGTGTAAGCTGGATCATGACAAGAGATAAAACCAAGGCAAATTTGTGAAGATTAACATATATTTGCTTCCTAGGACCCTGCTAGCCATATTTATAACACTGTACCCCCAGATATTCTCAGAAAGTTAACATAGGAAATTCATCACAAGAACACACCCAGAAGTTATTTCTTTTCCATTTATCAATGTAAATGAATTTGCATCCCAGATGAATTCTTCCTAATTCCATTACCTTTGTCTTCTGCAGGTTTAAACTTACCTCATTCTGTATGCATAGTTTTTACATTCATAATTCCTTTTTAAAAACCACCTTATTTTCCAAGGCTTGTCACAACATTTTGAAAAATAAAGAAGCCCAGAAGACTAAAATAAATATTTGCTTTTGAATATGGTATGAGTCTAAAATTCTAGTCCCTGAAGAATGATAACCTGGTGAATGAGAAATCTGTTCTAAAAAGATATGTTTACTTTATAATTAGTAAAAATATATGAGGAATGTGTAATGTGTAACTGTAACAAAAAACGAAAAAACCTACTGGCTAGTATTTATTTACTTTCATGCATGAAAATCAATGGAGATGCAAAAGAAGGGACTCAGAGATAAATAACCTGTCATCTTTAGATTACTTATTTAATTTTTTTAAATTTTCAAAATCTAGAACTTTTCTAAGGGATGACCAACTTGTCAATTATATAAGGTAAATTAATGAGTTCAGCTGGTTTATGGGTTTACCTATATCAGAGACGTCATTTTTTTGGTAGTAACATAAAATCATCAAAATTCTAATAATCATTTATTATCCAAGGATTTTGGATAATGGAGGAAAAGTTTGAAAACCTGCTGTTTCTATCTTTAAATTAGATTTCAGGCTGTGAATTCTTTCAAACCTAACAGTCTAATATTGATTTGTTTGTGGTTTAATTAATAAATTTGGGCTTAGACTTAATATAATTAATATTAGACATCAATAGATAGTCGTCTCCCTGCTTCTAACAAGGTTAAGTCTCTGCAACATGAAATGTCAAATTCTTTTCTTAAATTGAGCTCCAGAGTTTGGTCTTCAATTACATAAAATCAAAATCAGGGCCTCAAGATTTTTTTATGTTCCCATTAAACTGAAGGATAATACTGAGATAGGAGCAGAGTCAGAGCACAAGGCTTGGGAACTTGCTTTCTCCATTTGGTGTGCCTGACATCCTGTCGTGGTTTAAACCCAGTCAGGCAGCTCGTTCACTCACTCCCCCCCCCACACACCTTCTTTCCCTCCCCCTACTCCCAGAGGGACAGAGAGGAGAATCGAAAAGAATGCAGCTCCCATGCGTTGAGATAAGAACAGTTTAGTAACTAAGGTATAACACAAATCACTACTGCTACCACCAATGATAATAATGATAAAGGAAATAACAAGGGAAGAGAATACAACACCTCACCACCCGCTGACCGATAACTCGCCCCCCCAGCCCGACCAAGCACCGACCCATACCTCCTCCAACCCTGCAGTCCCCCAGCCCTTCCGGGTAACTCACAGTTACATCCTGGGCATGACGTGCTGTGGTATGGAATAACTCTTTGGCTAGCTTGGGTCAGGTGTCCTGTCTCTGCTTCCTCCCGGCTTCCTCTCCTCCCTGGCAGGGCATGAGGCTCACAAAGTCCTTGGCCAAAACCAAAACATCCTTGTTATCAGCTCTGTTCCCAAGCCGAAAGTCAAAACACAGCACTGCACCAGCTACCAAGGAGAAAAATGACGGCTGCTGCTGAACCCAGGATACATCCTCAAAATAATGGCCTTGTAACTGCTGGGCAAAGGTGCAGTCCTTTCCCAGCAGAACCACAGTGGGGGAAGTTCATAGGTCAAAGTCATTGATTGCATGTACTATTCATCAAGGATGAATACTGCAAGTACTTACCCTGGAGGGCAGAGGAAAATGGAAAGTTTGTGTGTATTTTAAACAGCCCAAGAGGTGAGCAATAAAATCTAATAGAGGTTAGCTGTTCTGTACCTGAACTTAACTGTAATTAGCTGGAAATTTTTCACTGTCTTGATCAGTATCATCACTGGGCCCTGTAGTTTCTAAATAAACTTGCTGTAAAACACTTTATAATCTCTTCCTGCTAGTAGGATGATACAAATATCCAATCTGAATATCTCACCTGAGTCATTTTGTTCAGCCCTGCTACTGCACTAAAAATAAGGGATTATTTGTCTCTGTCATCAGTCTGAAACTTGATTTCCTATAGGTCAAAAACGGTGTTTAAAGGTGGAAGAGTACTATGTCATACAAATACACTTGACATTTTTAGAATCACACACCAATGGAAACTAGGTATTCTGGATTCTTTTAAGAGTTTATGTATTTAAGCTTGAAATCATGAGAATATTTTTTTGATAATTGAAGTGTTCATGTGTAAAGAAGATCCTCAGAATTTAAAAGAAAAAATAGTACATATAAATGTGCCCACTGAAATAATTATTCCTCATAATACATGTTCTTCTAATTGAAGAACAGAAGATCCTAAAGTAAAAGTCCCTCTATCAGTGACTCCTTATAAAATGGCTGCTCTGGACATAAACCTGATGCCCAAATCTAGCTTCCATTAGTGAGATCGTTAGCAGATTTTTTAAACACTAGCTGTAAGCCTATTTATGAGGTTCATTACTGTCTTGTATTGCTAAAAAAAAGAAACAAAAAACGCCACCAAAACCCAATACAAAATAAAAAAAAAACACCACCACCAACAACAAAAAAGATTTTATCTTTGTATTCTACCAGTGAACAATGGGTTTTTTCATTCTATGAAACTTCTGTTCAAAAGAAAACGCAAGTATTGCTAAAGCTTTTGTTAAGTTAGGCAATAACTCCCTTTTTACAGTTTCTTTTACTTAAAGCCAGGACCAAAATGCTTGTGGTCTCTACAATTGCTTTCAACATTTCACACGTAGCGAAATGGGGTGAGAACATAAACAACCATATCTATATTAGCATCGTGAACTTACTGGTTTGTATATTTTGCAAATTTGTTTGAATTTATTGCTTTGAACTAGAATGACAAGATTTATACTGAAGAAACCCCTCAAAACCCCTTCTTTGTGAAGCGATTCCAATATAGGAAAAAATACCCCCTCCCTCTCACTCTTGTCTTAGATACATAGATCAGCTGGAAAAGAAAGAGTACTGATCTATAAGCTTGAGGGGACTATACGAAAAGCTAAAAGAAACATCCCTACATCTCCTATAGATCACAAAGTTCACATTGAATGTATATTAAACGATTAATTTCTTGCACTAGAAAATATCACAGCTTCCTTATCATCCTGTTCCACCTTCTCCATTCACATTTCTTTTCCCACTGAGATATCTCTACAAGGTTAAAGAGACAATGTCAAAAAGAACTAATCGGTAGCCAATCCTCTACTAAATAGTTACAAAACAATCAGTCTTATCCCCAGTTAATTCTGAAACATGGGCAGGTGGTTAGTCCTGTAAAGGCCCTGATCTGCAGCTTGTGCAAATCAGTGTCACTTCACATGAACACAATTAGGCCAACTTCACACCATCTAAGAATGTGCTTTAGGATTTAGTTTAGCTAATGTCAGAGCCCACAAAAAGCAATCCTTGATTCTCAAACCTGAGGTCAACTTAGGCAAGCAGTAAGTTATTTCTTGCTTTTGTTTGTTTATAATTCAGGGTGTTGTTGTTGGTTTATCTGTTTTTTTTAAGAAAGGAAAGATAAGTATATTAAGGTGTATCTTAGAAAACTTAAAACATTTTATGGGGCTGTGTAGACAACTGATGCTATCTTCAAAGGCAATAATAACAAAATGTACTCTGTAAATTGTATTTTATCCTCATAGTTTAATGTTTTTAGTATTTTTTTAATAGCTGCAGGGATTCATAATGCAGGTATATGAAAATTAGAATTTCTCCACATTTTGCAAACTTTTTATTATGCATGCTATAGGCAAGCTAGAAAAGATAGGTATTGTAGTGATTAGGAAGGGATACATTATTGCTACATTATAATGCACAAACAGGTTTTATGTTCTTCTGCATAATATTAGAAGCTCAAATGTATTGAGTCACAGCATCTTATCATCACTCAGCTTTTAAATTAAGGCAGCAATCATTGATTTATATCAGGCATAAAGAAGTTCCCTTGTCACATTACTTACTGATACATGGGGTGTAATTCTGATAAAGTATGAGAGTATGCAGTAGGGTTGTTAAGAATTATTTGCATGCATGTAAAAAAAAAAGGCAAATTATATACATTTTTACTGTCAACCTGTTCCTCTTATTATCTACTACTATCTGCTAAAAAAAAAAAAAATTCAACAAATCTGCTTGCACATTTTTTCATGTTATAAGGTTTAAAAATAAAATGTAAATGCAATATGCCTAAAAGTTAGAAATATATCTATGATAAAGGGATGCAATCATATCTTGCATTGTTAAATATCACAGGGTAAAGAAGATTATGTTAAAGACTACTTTGATTGGCAAAAATTCATTCAGTTCTTTAGCTAGTAATAACTAGACATATTACTCTATTTTCTGAAATTAGTGAACAAAAGCCCAGGTAGTAAGTTAAATGAATGGGTGAAAGTGTGTGATTAACTCATTTTCACCTTTTTGAGACTGCAGATTGCACATGTAGGCAGTCTTCTGGGCTTCATTTGCTCCCAGGAAGAAAGCTTGCAGATCATGCTTACTGATCATGCATTCTTGTTTATATATCATATTTCCTGGGATCCTCACACTCCTGAAGAGCAGTGAACATTTTCAGTGGTCCTATAGAAAATATCACCTGTAGAAAATGCACCATAGTCTTGTCCTATGTTTGTAA